CTTAGATATAAGTCTACCATCACAGTCAAAATAATGAACAGGTTTATCCCTCTTGTCAAAAACTACAAACTACCAAAACTCAGGAAAGATGAAATAAATAACCTGCATCGTCTTCTAACTAGTAAGCTGAATTCATTAGAAATTTCCACAAAACAAATTCAACTTTCAATTTTCACCAAATGTTTACCAAACATTTAAAGAATTAACACCAATTATATACAAACATGTTAAGAAAAAAAAAAAAAAAGAAAGAACATTTATCCACTCATGTTATGAGACCAGCATTACTCCAGTGTCAATACAGGACCAAGGGCATTACATGAAAATTACAAATCAAAATCCATCATGAATACAGATGCAAAAATCCTTTATGAAACATTAGAAAATCAAATCCAGCAGTATTCAAAAGAAATGTAAGCCTGGTTCATATTTGAAATATCAATCTGTAATCTTCCATATTAGCTGTATAAAGAAGAAAAACCACTTGATCATATTAATTGATGCATCTATTCGTGATTTTTTTTTAAGTTGAAAGAAAGGAATAGGAGGAAACTTCCTATTATACCAAAGAATGCTCAGTTCAAGACAGGATATCATCTGTCCTTGCTTTTCAACATTATATTGGAAGTCCTAAGTAGTGAAATGGGCATTTTTTAAAAGTTAAATGCATTGGAAACTGTGGGGAAGGAAATAATTCTTATTTTCAGACAACATAACATAATTTGGCTAAGTAGAAAATCCTTAAGTAATCTAATTTTAAAACAGTTTTAAAAAACTCCTAAAAGTAATAGGGGAGTTTAACAATGTATTAGGCTGTAAGACCAAAGACAAAAAATCAATCATATTTCTATATACTAGTAATGAACAAATAAAACAAAAACCTTTTTAAATATTTTCAATAGCTCTAAGAAATGAAAAGTGAAGTTAAAAATGAAGCAAAACATCTAAAATATTTGTCATTGAAAATACAAAATGTTTATGAAAGAAATTTTTAAAATTAAGTGAAGAGACATACTTTCAAATATTAGAAAGTACAGCATATTAAAAATGACCTCCTAATGATCTATTGATTCCATACAATTCCATCAAAATCTCAGTAGGATGTTTCATAGATGTAGACAAGCTGATTTTAAAAGTTTTATGGTAAATTAAATAATCTATAATAGCCAAAAGGATTTTTAAAAAGAAGAATAATGTTGAATCACTCCACCTAATATTAAGACTTTCTGTAAAACTATAGTAACCACCTGGCATGGTGGCACACACCTGAATCCCAGCAGCTTGGGTGGCTGAGGCAAGAGGATCACGAGTTCAAAGCCACTCAGTGAGACCCTGTTTCTAAATAAAATACAAAATAGGGTTAGCAATGTGGCTCAGTGGCCAAGTGCCCCTGAGTTCAATCCCCAGTGCCCATCCACCCCCACAGAAAACTACAGTAGCCAAGACTGTGTGGTGTTGGTGAAAGGACAGAGAAATGAATGAACAGAATAGAGTTCAGAAATACACAAACATAACAAAAGGATATTTTTAATTGAAATTCTAATGAGATAATTATGAATTTTCATGTTGCCATACAAAAAATATGAAGAGATCCCATGTACCTCAATTATAAAATTTTTAAACTTTACCACAATAGATAACTAGGATATTAACAGTGATACATCTAATGGCTCTATTCCATTCTATACAATTTTATCACATATGTAGGTTTACATGTCTACCACCAGAGTTAAAATAACGAACAGGTTTATCACCACATGGATCCCTCTTTTCTAATTGCTCCAGCACCACTTTTTAAAAAGCTTCCATTGAATTGCTTTTGCACTTTTGTCAGAAATCAGTTGAGCATGTTTGTGTGACTCCGTTTCAAGATTCTCTGTTCCAACAATTTGTATGTCTGTCCCCCCACTAGTATCACTCTGTATGAATCACTGTGACTATATAGTAAGCCTTATCATAGTGGGTCTTCTTGTTTTATTTTTCTTCATCATGGTTGATTTAGCTACTCTACAGTCTGTGATTTTTCCATATAAGTTTTAGAATAAGATTTTCTATCTAGAAAATCCCTTTGCTGGGATTTTGACAGGTATTTCATTAAAATTAGATGTCAGCTGGAGGTGGTGGTGCAAACCTATAATCCCAAGCTTCTCAGGAGGCTGAGACAGGAGGATCCCAGCAACTCAGATTCTGTCTCAAAATAAAAATAGCTGGGGATGTACATCAGTAGTAGAGAACCTGCCTATGGAGTATGAGGCCCTATATTCAGTCCCCAGTACTGCCAAGAGAAAAGGAAAACAGCTAGAGATCACTTTTTGTTTGTGTGTGGAGAACTGACATTATTAACATGTTGTATCTTCAAATCCACAAACACAGAATGTCATGCATTCATGTCTTCTTTGATTGTTTTCATTGGCATTTTTTATTATCGAGCACACAGATCAGGCAGGAATTCAAACTTTTGATTTCCTTGTGTTGTTTCTATCTAGCAACAATTGATTTCTATGCATTAATCTTCCATACTGAGACTTTGATGAACTTAACTGTTAGTTCTAAAAGTTTTTTCTTACATTTCTTGGGATTTCCTACATGGTCACATCATCTGCTTTGTCCTTAATTTTTAAGTTTGATTTTAGATGTGTTAAGGAATGGATTTCTTTGGGTTACCTCATTCTAATGAGGTATTCACTGAAATTCTTGACTATGTAGATTGACATCTTTAACTAAATTAAAAAAATAATTTCAGGGCCTATTCAATTTTTTTTTTTCCTTTCTGCACCCTTTTTTTTTCTTCTTCTGGGACTTGGTTGACACCAGTCTTTGTCTATTTTTTTCTTTGATACCACAGGTCCCTGAGAGTCTCTCGATTGATTTTTCAGTCTTTTCTTTCTGTGTTATTTAGACTGGATAATTTTTATTGTTCTTGCTTCAAATTTATATGTCTCCATTCTGCTGTTAAACCCATTCAGGGAGTTGCGTGTTTTGTTAGTGGTGGTGCTGTTGCTGTTAGTTGCTGTTGCTGTTTGTTTTTTGGTTACATAGTTTTCAAATCCAAAATTCTATTTTTAGATCTTCTATTTCTGCAACTTTATAACTCACTATTCAAGATTGTTTGATCTTTCCACTTTTAAAGTCTTTGTAGGGTAAACATCTGTTTCATCTAGGCATTGGTATCTATCATCATTTGCCATGAATAGAGATTCTCTAGTTCTTCATGCATAGTAATTTTAGTTACAATATTATAAGTCCCATGAGTCTTATATATATTCTAAGAATATTCTATGTATGTGTGCATGCATGCACACGTGTATATTTTTTAGTAGTTAAATAACCCATTTGATTTCAAGCTTTCAATTCCAGCCACTGTTGTGGCTTGTCATTCCAGTGTCAGTCCAGTTTTCAAAGTCCTTGCAGTGCCATTTGGATCAGTCTTGGTTGCATACCAACCAGTGTTCAGTTAGAAGTTTGGGTGATGGGTGTATACTGTATTTCAGTTCTCAAAGTCAATATATGTACTGTTTAGCACTAGCTGTGCATGCACAGCTCATGAGCCTAAGAATTCATAAACAATTCTAGAAGGTCACTTTCTTCAACTTCTTCCTTTCCATGATATCTCTATCTCTCTCTCCCTCTCTCCTTCCCCAACCCCTCTCTCTTTCCTCGTCTCTTTGAGCTTCCCTTTGGGTCCTCCAGCCATAAACCTTCATTTACTCGTCCCTGCTGCTTCTCTTGCATGACTGCCCAGATGTCTACAATCAAACAGAGGAATGAGTGCATATGAAACAGTATTATCTCTTATGGGACCCTGGTGCCTCCCCTGTCATGTCATTCGTTTGGGGTTGGGGTGCACAAAACTGGAGAATAAGAAGAAAACCAAACAGAGACTTAGCTCTACTATCTTACCTGTTTCTCAAGAGCATTTCTCCTTGATTTCCTTCTGTCTGTGCTAATGCTCACTTCTGTTACTAGGGTAGGTTTAGTTCAGCGTGGGGAATTGTGAAGAAAATAAAAGGATAAACTCATTGTCAATTTAGTAGTAATTCATTTTGGTCTTTTTTGATCTTCCTGTTGATATTTACTTTTGGGGTCCTCAAATAGCTGTTACCTGCATACTGTCCAGGTTGTATGACTATGTTCAGTGGGAAAGACAGAGTGGAATGTGCTTACTCCATGTTACCTGGAATGAGACCACATATCATTGTTTGTTGTTCAACTCATTAATTGATGAGGGAACCAGTAAGATATTAATACTGGTTCAAAAGATACTTGAGTTATGAGGTATTTATATCCAATTTGATGAAGAAACATTACAAAAAGATTACTGAGTTCTGTGAAAAACTGGTTAACATCCTACAATGCAATAAACTAATTTTGGGGAGTACCTTTTCCATTGCACAGAAATTATATTAATCTTTACTAAACAAAAGCTACATGTTAAGTAGTAATTCTTCAAGTCTGGAACTTTTAAAAAATAGTAAATACTTTATTTGATGCTAAGCAATTCCATTTTTACTAAGTATGTTCTCTCAATAAATCTTGAATGAGTCTTTGCTCCCATATGACTTGGAAATTATATGCCATTCTTATTTTCTTTTATGCTTTATTTCTATGTTTTGGATAATTTTTCTTATATTTAGCTATCAAGATTCTTCCAGAAGGTTTAACTGAAGCAATATATAAGTCCAACTTAGGTAAATCAATTTTTTTCCAACTCAATAAATATTTGTTTTATGCCTACACTGTGCCAGAAACCTTGCTAGGCAATTGTGCAGAAACCCAATGCATGACTTTTATAATATACACCAATCATATAGGTTCTTTTCAAAAATAGTTTTTCCAGCATAATATAGACTATACATGAAAATTTCTAAACTACATATGGTATGGTTGTTGAGGAATAAAATACTTTATTCCTATAATGCTCTTCAAATTAACTCAGCATAGTTAGTTTTGTTCATTTGTTTAGCAAAAGATGTGATTTTGATGGCTGTTTACTCTCAAAGGAAAGGCAGAGGGAAAAAAGAAGAGGAAAAACTGAAAGAGGAGGAAGAAGTTCTGGCAGCACCAAAACTGACTGGAGAAAGTTCTGATAAAGAGTGGTTCTCTCCTCCTGATCCTGAGTTCTGTATTTATGTGTATGAAGTGACCAAATCAATACTGCCCATAACCAATGTTAAGGAACAGATTGAGGTTCTGGCCAAGTAAGTTCTCTAGGTATAAATATACATTTTTAATTTCTGAATGTTTTTCATTTTAGTGGTTTGCTTTTTTTTAAAAGCCATTTTTGACAAATCCATTACAATAAAATTGAACTTCATAGTATCCTTTCTCTGACTCTGAAGCAGAAGCAGAATGAACTTCAAAATTTTTCAGTTTCTCTTTTAGGTCCCTTTTCTTTAAAGAATCAGAGCTAGGAGCTAGAAATTGCTTAGAGAAACATTTTTGTTATTTTCTCCAGCTAAACCATTAAAAGCATCCTTCAGTGTGGTCTTGGAGATGTTATGAATGAATCAAAAGTTTGAGAAATAAATCATTCCTTAGGTGTACAAAATCCTCATAATTTAAATATGCCCCATTGGTGAATTATTTGTAACTTAAAAATGATTTTTCATACAAATAATCATCCTCTATTTTTCTATTTGTGTTTCACATTGCTCTAAAGTTGCTTGTGAGTGTTCTTAGAGCCTGTGGAATACTGGTCCTCATGAGAGTGTTAGATCAGATGCCACTAAGGAAAGGCTGAGAATGTGACTTGGTGGCTGTAAGGGATCAGGAATCACTAGAAGTGGATTGTGATTGACACCGCCCAGGAGGTGAGCTGCAGGCTTGTGCAACAGCTGCAGTCTCCACGGGAGCCTGTGTCTACTCCAAGTAGAAGTGAGCAGCAGTCATTAAACCTGGATGTGACAACTGCAAGGATCGCAGCTGCCAGATCACTGACTTCTTGTCAGCCAGGACTGAAAGACAGCATTTTTTGGCGACAGAAGTTTTTCCTGATGTCCTTGAGAAGTGATGACTTAAGCAAAACCTTTGATTCAGCTCCTATAAACATTTGTCAATTTCTCCATGCTTTGTTTCTCTCTGAGGTTCTTTCCATCACTCCCAAATCATTGTCCTTTTAAACCTGAGTCCATAACAAGCTGAAGAGAGATGCAGAGATCTATCCCCAGACCTTTGGTTCCTTGGCATTCAATAAAGCACTCCTGGCTAGATAGAGCCGTGGTCAGATTTCTAGCTTTCTCAACATGTTCCCTTTGGGTTTTTGTTTGTTTGTTTTTTGTTTTGTTTGTGATGCTAAGGACGAAACTCAGGGCCTCATACATGCTAGGCAAGCAACCACTGAGCTATACCCCCAGTCCTTTTATTAAAAAAAATTATTTTGAGAAAGGGTTTCATGACATTTATCATGCTGGCCTCAAACTATCTATCCTCCTGCCTCAGCCTCCAGAGTAGTTGGGATTACAGATGTGAGCCACTGAGCCTGACTTTTCTTTATTTTTTTTAAAACTATTGTTCTTCATAGTACAGCAAGAGGAGATTCTTTTAAACTTGTAATTCTACAGAGAGTGGTGGCTTTAATTGTCAGAGGATCTTTGCAGCAGTGATTGCTAAGTTCTTCAGTGAGCACTAGGAGAAAACCTTAAACGAAGTATCCACTCCCATCATTGCTCACTGCTCTTTTTCTAATTCCTCCTCTTCTTTGTCTAACTTCAATACTATGTGATGTCATGCCTTTCTCTCTCTCTCTCTCTCTCTCTCTATATATATATATATATATATATATATATATATTTATATATAGAAAAAAGTAAAATTATATATATATATAAAAAGTAAAATTAAAGGACTTGAAAATGTCAGTGAATCTAATGGGAAATTTTTCTATTTGTCTTGTCTCTAAATTTAAGTTCATTCAGAGAAAACTCTTATGTTAGTGCAACACCTTGGACTTGAGATTAAAACATTATAATTCAGAATACTTTTTTTCAGAATGAGGTAAATTTTAAGACTGCATTTATATTTGGTGTAATGTTGATTTGTATCTTGTTATAAATATTGGGAAATTAGCAATGAATTTCTTCTTCACAATACATTAAATTGCTAGAGTTTGTATATATATATATATATATATATAATATATGTAAATAATTACATACATACAGTAAGCATAATGTTAACCTCATTGTGAGTAAATTTTTACATTTTTAAAAGTAAATCAAACAGCAAAAAATCAAAGGGAATTCAGTTTGGAGGGGGGTTTGTTTTGACATCGGAGATTGAACTCAGGGGCACTCAACCACTGGGCCACATCCCCAGCTCTATTTTGTATTTTATTAAGAGACAGGTCTCACTGAGTTGTTTAGATCCTCACTGTTGCTGAGGCTGGCTTTGAACTCAAAATCCTCCTGCCCCAGCCTCCCAAACTGCTGGTATTACGTGCATGCGCCACTGCGCCCAGCTAGAAGGAATACAGTTTTTATATGGATAATGATACACATAATAGTAATCAAAGTACCCAAAATGAGATATTAAACTTGATTGATTTTATTTCACAGGTATGTGGCAGAAAAAATGGGTGGTAAGATTGCAAAAGACAAACTGCCTGATTTCAGCTGGGAACTTCATATAAGTGAACTAAAAGTTCAACTTAAATCCAACGTTATACCAATTGGATATATCAAAAAAGGAATCTTCTACCACCGAGCTTTGCTTTTCAAGGTATTTTGTCCATTGGCCATTATGTTAAGATTAGAATTACTACCCTTGCTTTAAAGACAAGAAAACTAAGAGTTGGAAAAATAATTTACCCAGTTTCAGTCAGAGGGAAGACTAGAATTTGAACCACATGCTTATCTGAATAAAAATAAATAGACACCCCCAAAAACAACCAAACAAAAAGCCTACCACACTGCTTACACCCAGAGGGAATTCTCATTCTGGTAAAAAATCTGAGTGATATCAACTCCTTGTCATTCCTTGGCTCACCTCTTACTTGTCCCCAACCCACTGTCATCTGGCCTTTGCACCAACCCTCTCAATAAGTACCATGGTGACCTCTGCAATGTCTCTCTTACTTAATATGTCAAAGAATTTGACTGTCCTATTTTTCTGACACTGCTCTCTTTAGTTGCTTTTGTCCTCTCGGGTCATTTCATTCAGTCTGCTTTGGAGATCTCTTTTTCTCCACCCCTCTCTTAAATACTGGGGTTTCTCTACGTTCTGACCCAGGCTTTCTTCTGTTCTCTATTAATGAATTTCAAAGGGTAAAGTCTTTCTTCATACAACCTGAAATAGTACCTAAATCCCTAAGGTTTACAATTGTGTCCCACTTCACAAAGAAGATGTAAGCTCATTTGCATGTTGGCTGGCTCACTCAGATTTTTCCCCAAGGTCACAAAGGCAGACTCTGGAGACTGGCTTTCACTTTGGACCACCATTTACAGTAACCTTGATACAGTATATACAATATACAATATAACCTTGATACAGTAATCACATACTTTCTGATTTCAGATTTGTTCTCTACATCTATTCCATAGGACTTTTTTTTTTTGAGGATTTAAAGTGCTTTGACTTGATGTTAAGAATCAGTCAATACTATTTTGGAAAACATCCTGTAATTATATATATGTGTGTATATGTGCACAGACACACACACACACACACATATATATATATGACACACACACACATGCATGTATGTGTGTATGTGTGTGTGTGTGTGTGGTCTGTACACCCCACTTGACCATGAGGACCATACATTTAGATATTATTTGTGTTGCGATGGACTGTTTCCTAGGCTGTGTCAGGCTAGATGGAATATAAAGTCCTGAAAATGACAACCATATCTTAATCATTTTGGCTTGCCCAAAACTACTTTGCACAGTCATTACGTAGTAAGTAAACAATTAGTTAAATTAATATATAAATATAAAGAATGTTAAAACAAGGAAAGTCTTGCCTTATGAATCTCTGTAGCATTTATAGAATACTTAACTTTTAATCCTCAATGCATATTAATTCACTTCATCTTTATAACCACTCTCTTTGTAACCAAATGAGGAAGCGACTGTTGTTCTCCCCTCACAGATGAAGAAATGGAAGCCTAGATATGCTGGGTCGCTGGCTTGTGACTAGTATACCTCAGGGCTGAGGGGAAATTAGATAGTTATTCCCAGCTTTTTTATTCACTGTGAACAGTCTGAGAAGTTTCCAGATTATTTTAAAGATACTTTTTTAAAAAATAACCTCAAAATCAGGAAAAATTGGGGCAATTTGAGGAGGTAATGTCTAAGGAACATAAGTATCCTCTAGTGAGGTGGCAGCAAGTGGCCTGAGAAGGGCCCACCACGCACAACTCTGCTTTCCCTTTAGTCCAGTCCCTGTCTACCTCACACAGAATAAATTGGCTAGAAATAGGTCCCCACGAACTTGATGCCCCCATTCGATCGCACTGCGTATCACAGCCAAAGAGCAGCCCGGGGGTGTGGGAAGATTGATAGATGGGCCGGGGCTAAGAGCCACGCAATAGCTTTTCCCCAACACCTTATCCATCTTAGCCTGATTCAATACAGCAACTGCCTGAAAAATGTCACTTCCCCCAGGACCCTCTGAGGTCACAGCATCCCGAGGAACCAGGGAACTTCTTACATTCGATCGGCTCCTATCACAGGTCGTCCACATTTTTCAGCCTTCGAACTCAGCCTTCCTTTGCAAGGTCGATCTGACCTTCCACCTCGGTGGGTTTTACAACTAAGGGCTTTTCTCCATCTCCCCCCCCCCGCCCCCTCGTCTTGTTTTCCCTCCCCCAGGCTCTAGCTGATAAAATCGGTCTCGGCTGCAGTCTGGTGCGAGGGGAGTACGGCCGCGCGTGGAACGAAGTGAAGCTGGTCAACGAGTCTCGGAAGGGCTTGACCGGGGGCCTGCCGCTGCCCGAAATCTACATCGTGGACCTCATGTTCCACCCGGGGGCGCTGCTGAAGCTGCAGAGCAGGGAGGCCGACTTCTACCGATTTCTCTGAGCCATCGAGGGAAATGCAAGAGAGGTTTAGCTGAGAAAGTCACTACACACACTTTCTGAGAAGTTTGTCCACTGATCTTATTTAAATAAAATTATTAGCAATGTTCTGTGTAGAAATGAGGAACTCTCTTGAACTGTATGGTGCTGCTGGCTTGTGGCCAGAGTTGTTAGGTCCTGTCCTGCTCACGATCAGTCTCTCACATAAAGGTCTCTGTGGTCCCAACCATTCAGGACCACTGTGCCTCTCTGTCCCAGAGGAATCACCAGTAGGAGCTCTCAGCTGCTGCTCCCAGGAGGTCCCTGTGGCCCTCGACTGTCCTTCATGCCCAAAGTGCTTCAGGAGCAAGTGCTGACGCTACTTCTGAGGATTTTTTCATGTCCTCAATCTCCCTTTCTCACTTTCATTGAGATTTGGGTATATTGACTGGCTTATAGGTAGACCTTAGTATTACAAATTCCTTTTTTAACTCCTTTTGTTCGTGTTTTTTAAAACTTACCATTAACCACACTATTTAGATCCACTTCACTGAATTGAAATTAATTTTTAGGGACTGGGGATGTAGCTCAGTGGTAGAGCACTTGCCTAACAGGTGTGAGGTCCTGGGTTCAATCCCCAGCACCACAAACCAACCAAAAGTTTCAAAAAAGTATTTCCTAAAAATGTCTTTGTCTTGTGTATACTAACTTGGAAATAGACCTTCAATGGAGGTAGGGGAAAGGATGATATGAAAATAGGAGGACAACTAGAGGAAGGGACTGTAGCTTAACAAGGAGGATGGATAGGACCAAACTACTATATAAATTGTCACAATGAAACCCATTATTTTGTACAATTAACATGTGCTGATTAAAAGGAAAGAAAAATGTAGACTTTCAGTTAAAAACAATCCCGATTTATTCTTACACATTATTAGTCTGAATCATGAAAACACAGCTTTAAATTAATACAACAACAACAACAACAAAATCCTTGCTGAGCAATTGTTTTTTTCAGAATTGAGCACAAGACAGGAATAAGCATATTTCAATCAAGAAAACAAAAATTAGCAGTATGATGACTCTCATGATGTGTGAATTTCCTAGCCAGCCTTCAAGTATAAAGTTTATCCATGTAATCATTTTCTTTCTTGTTTTTCTTTTGGTTGTTTTGTTTTTTTGTTTGTTTGGTACTGGGGATTTATCCCAGAGGGCCAATAAGATACATCCCCATGGGCTGGAGATGTGGCTCAAGTGGTAACATGCTCACCTGGCATGCGCGGGGCACTAGGTTCGATCCCCAGCACCACAAAAAAAAAAAAGATGTTGTGTCACCCGAAAACTAAAAAATAAAATATTAAAAAATTCTCTCTCTCTCTCTCTCTC